AGTCGGAGAACAACCAAGTCGGAATTATAAGACAATGACGACATCAGCAGCCATTTTTTTTTTAAAAGCTCAAATACCCACTAATGTCGAGGGCCTCTCTGTTGATGACCGACTTGGTTTCATGAGGTTAGAGCTAAAGACTAATCACCTTGTTCGATTAATAGTCCCTCAGAAATAGCTGAACTTAGCTCAAGTCGGTACCAGTTAAATACGTTGATTACCGACTTCCAGTTGACTGAAAATAGAACCGACAACTTATCAGAAACCGACAACCGACTTCACCGACATTGTGATTATGTCCATTAAAAATTATCCATTCATCCGACATTCGTGGGGATCGAATTTCCAAGCAAGAGGTGTTGTACATATTCGATTGGACCATCAAAACAAAAAGCAATCATTGATGTTCCCTCATTCCATTACACACCGTTTTATTGAAGCTGCTCAACATTAAATGCGATCTTATCTACCTCGGACAAAAAGACAAAAGCAACCGTACTATAAATAGCAGAATTTATAGTTGTACGGGGATCTTTTTTCGCACATTGTACACGGACTTGAAATGATCTCGATCAAGAACAAAAACCCCACTTCCTGTACTCTTGTGATATCATCAATAACATACGACTATATTTTTATTTCTGTTTAAACACACCCAGCTGTTTATAATTTTAAGTTGTTAATTACATACAACAACAGTTAGATTATAATTAATTAATGCAGTAATATATTAACGCATTTAAAAATTGCAGTACGTACTTGATTTCAGTAACTTGATTATCGATGTGCTTATTAATCTTCTGCCAAATTGTATCTAGCGCGCCGATGGACGTCTGAAGCCACTCCTTCAACATAGTGTCGGCACTCTCCACCCTATAGGAAGTTGTGTTTCCAAAATGTGTCACTCGGTTGGTCTAAGCCTTCACAAACTTCTCGCGGTGCCCTAACCATTTGCCCTCCACATACCGTATCACCTCTGGAGACTTCGAATATATTGTGTGCAGCTCGGCAACGGCATCGGTGTAGGCATCGAACGTACTGGCCTCTGCAATCGCCTTCCACGTACTGTGCCTGAAAATCTCCGAGAATTTTTTACTCTTCCCAAATAGTTTGTAGGCTTTGTCTTCCACATCCTTGTTGATGTGCCACGTGCAGAGTAAGTGGGCTGATTCAGGAAAATGCCTCTGAATAGGAGTGAGTAAACCCAACTCTCTATCACTGACAACAACATAAGGATATACGTCTTGGCCTATCAGTAGTCTCAACTTCTCTAGAACCCAGTCGTAACTGGCCTCTTTCTCGTCCCTGATGAGCGCATACGCAATTAGGAAGTTCTGGTTGCTCGGTGTCATCTCAATCATCTCGACCAACGGCATCTTGTACCTGTGCAAATGAGACCAAGAAGACAAAAAATATAATCAAATAAAAATTTACTTAATCAAACACACTATTTAAGATTCATACTAATAAAGTATTTATAAAGTAACATACCTGTTGATTTTATACGTGGAATCTATGCTGACATACCAGTGATATGTCCAGAATAGATTGATCGACGCAGGATGGGCCATGAATATATGCGTCAACGCTTTCGTGTTCGGATCGGATTCTGCATAAACTGTATACTCGCTGCTCACAGCCAAATGCATAAGCTGGGAAGGAACGTCTCTACCGTCGAAACTCTCTTTCCGCAGCTTATCTCTAAAGTTATATACCTGTCACCGATTAGCGTTAATTATAATGATTATTATAATTTTAAAAAAATATTATGTTAATAAATAAAAAAGTATATTAATGCGATCAATTTGATAAAAAAAATTTTAACTATCACAATAATAATACATTAGTAAATATAATAAAATTTATTAATTATTGCAATAATTTTTACATATAAAAAATTACTAATTATCATAATTAACTTCAAAAAGTTAATTAAAACATATATTACAAGATATAAATATATATACCTGTCGCACATGAACGTTGTCTCCTGGATTCTTTTCCTTCAGCGCGGCCATAACTTTTGCCGGGGCCACCTTAGCGTCCGTCATATCAAGAACTATTTTCTTAGATGAAGCGCTGAGGCCGCTCAACTGGCGATGACCCTCAGGATACACAGCAAATGTATGGTTATGGTACCCTTCTCTTCATTGCTACATCTACAGATCCTCCAGTATGGAGCGTCGGACACCTTTTTTACTTTGATCTCAAAATTGCAGCCGCACTTATTAGTTTTTATCTTTCTAGAATTTCCGCATGTGCCTCTGTACCGTTCGCCTCTATGGCACTTCAAAAGCCTGACCGTTTTCTTTTTGTGGCTCGAAATTATTAATAGGAAACCATTCAGCATTTCCTAGTGTTTTGCAGCTTCAATAGCATCCTGAGCACTATTATATAATGTACAGGTATCGAAACTCAGACTGTAATCAATACCATCTCCTCCAAAATCTTCCCATGACTCCTGCTATATAGTACAATACTTATATTTTTAGAACATGTTAAATTGAGATAATTAATTCTAGCATATAACATAATAATTTGTAATTCATAACATGATATTATCTAACGTCCAATTTATAGAATAATGAAGTCTAACATGTAACACAATAATTTGTAACTCCTAACACGATCACAATAATATCTAACGTCCAATTTATAATATAATCAACTATAATATGTAACATAATAATTTGTTACTCCTAACACGATATTATCTAACGTCAATTTATAACATAACCAAGACTAACATGTAATATAATAATTTCTAACTCGTAATACGATAATATCTAACGTCCAATTTATATTATAATCAACATGTAACATAATAATTTGTAACTTTTAACACGATAAACGTCCAATTCATAGCATAATCAAGTCTAAAATGTAACATAATAATTTATAACATAATAATATTGTCCAATTTATAACATAATTATTTCGAATATATAACATAATAATTTAAAAAAAAAAAATTATATCCGGCCGGTCGAACCGGATGGACCAGTTCCGTCCGGCCGGCCGATTCAGATATAGCCCGTCCGGCCGGCCGAACTAACTTGACGGCTTTTAACCCGTCCGAACCGGCCGGCCGGACGAATTAAAATCCGTCCGGTTCCGGCGGCCGGACACAAAAATTTTTGTATCTCGGAATTTGACGACATTTCACCGTACACTTTCCTCTGAGATGTTTTGAAAAAATGAAAAGGGCAAAATCGTCCAAGGGGGGCGGTGAGTAGTAAAATGGGGGCGGTAAATAGTACCACCATTGATTTAACAGATCGGATGGAGCAAAAATTCTCATTTCTTTCATTATCCCCTCATTCTTATTTGATCCTATTCCAATATAAATGTTTGTATTTACTTAAATCATATTGTAGTCAAATCGAATTTTGAATAAAATTTTTAAAATGACACCTATTTCGAAATTAATATAGTTATCATTAATTACTTGCACCGTAAGGGTCGTTTACCAATTTTAAATAAACATATTTAATGTAATTTCGCACAATTTATATTTCATATAACATTTTCAACAGATTAATATAGGTAAGTTGTGTTACATATTGATTCCATATTTTTAATTTATAAATATTATTTAATGAGCATTTTTAATTTATAAATATTAAAGAATATTTCTTACCCGTGCATCGCACGTGATTCGTACTAGTAGATATATACATGGTGCATATTTAGTTCATAAAAAATGTATATTTATATAGTACGAGATGTATATTTAGTTAATGTGAGTTCCAATCATAGCTCTTTATTTGTGTAAATCAATGACTCATATTAATTAATTAAAATTTGTATTAATTAAATATTATAAATATTAATTATTATATTTAAATTAATTATATAAAATGCATATTTAATTGCATATTTTTGTTGCATATTTAGTTAATGCAAAATGCTCATTTAGTTCATTAGTTCATAAACAATGCATACTTAGTTGATATGATTATTAAATATGTATTGTATAATTAATTTAATATAAGATTTAGTTCATCCATAGTGTATATTTGTAATATTTAAATTAAATATTCGGCAAAAGAAGGTTACAAGCGAAAAACGTTAGGGCTTATGATTCATTGTTCAATTCGAATTTAGAGCCTTAAATTCAATTTTCTTCGATATGACTATCATTGACAATTTTGTTCGTGATATTTTAACAGCCTGCAATAATCAATTTCTACTTGTAGTTGTGTTTATGAAAAGGCTTGAATGAGGTTGTGCTCACGAAAAATAAAAAATAAAAATAAAAAATCAGTGGAAGAGGAAAAAAAGAAAAAAAGGTGACGTGATTTTTAGAGGATGGGTGAAGATTGAGTATGATAAGTGATGGTATTACTATTTAGAATTTCAGATTTTACGCTATTTGGGATTATATTTTATTTGAATTATTGAGTAAGTCATTATTTTGTTTTGGAGAAGGTCGTGTGGTGGTTTTTATATGGAGCCTTAGGATTGTTTTTCTTACGGAGTCATCTGTCTACGTGGCTCATATGTGGCATAAACATGTGCAAAATATAAGACATGTGTGCGTTATATTTATTTTGATAAAGAAAAAAAAAAAAAGATCTTTTTCTTTCCCGCTCTCAACCCCTCAGTCCCCAAATACCGACCAATCCCCAAATTCATACCCGCCCTCCTACCACGGCCAAGAACTGGAAGCCTCTACGCCCTCTATTCTTTCGTTGTTCTTGTCAAACCCCTCAATCCCCAAATCCCTAAATTCGATCGATCCCTAATTTTACATCCGCCCCTCCGACCACAACCCTACCAGGAAGCCTCTCGCCGCCACTTGCAGATGCAGGGTACACTCCAGCTGTCACAACACATATCCCATCAGGACCGGTCAATCCCGTACTCGGCGAGGCACTTCTCGGTTAGGTTCACCTGCTCCCTATGCAGGCCCGGGTCTAGTGCGGGCCTTGCGCACAGACCATTGAACAGAAAGGGGATGCGCAGGGAGCTTTCCCACACACATCACGTCGAACATAATGGCACTCAGCGGGGAGTTTGGAGCTTTCAGAGGCGAAGAACATCAGAGACACTTGGTGGAGCTCGCGTGGAGGCGCCGACGGGGAGGCGAGGGACTCTGGGAGAGACTGCGTGCAGCTGGGCCTAATCGTGGCGAGCAGGATCTGCGGGTTGACCGGCGGGACCTGCTGGTTGCCTCTGGCGTCATTTTCTGTTACGGCGGCACCAAAACAATAGCGGCTATTGATAGTAAAGTATCGCAACAGCTAGATTTGTTATTCCTGTCTCTGTTATTTTCATTTCAAGAGAACCCTTGTATGAAGATTAGTTGATCAAATATTTCAAAGACCGGAGATTTTGGTGCCTTTTTTGGGGCAACTGGAAGTAGAGAGTATTTTTTTTTCGGTTTTTCTTGCCGCCAGCCGGAGAAGATGCATGGTGAGAAGAAGAAGAAGGTGGAGAGGGACTGCGTGCGGTGTTTGACAAGAAGATCTTTTCTTTTCTTTTTTATTTTCCTTTATCAAAATAAAAATAAAGCACACATGTCTTGCATTTTACACATGTTTGTGCCACATAGGAGCCACGTAGGCGGATGGCTCCATAAAAAAAATAATCCTAGGGCTCCATAGAAAAATTGTCAAACATAATCTTTAATTTTACTTCTTTTTTGAGTACAATAAAAGGAGGCTTAGGCCTAACGGACGCTAAAACAGAACGCGACGAGGATAAACCACTCCAATAAGATCATGTTCAAGCCACTTGGCAACGGATGATGGTGGGACATGAAGATAGTGCACCCATAAGGTACAGACCCCGCTAAAGAAACTGGGCGATCTGGAGTGAAATTCGTTTTCCCAAAACACATGATCCAATTACACCGAGCACTCGCGATCTAGTAATTCTCGTATGGCCCGAACAAGACTATCATGGTCCCACCCACGTCCTTTTGCCCTATAATAGTAATCACGCTACTATTGTCCATTTTCGCCATAACCTTCCGTACGCCCAAAGCCCATGCGAGAGATAGCCCGTGAATCTTAAATTTTTAAACTAAACCTAATACAATTGCTGAAGTTTAGGGAAGGAGAGAAGAAAATGACGAAATATATATGATTCCGAAAGAGAAGATAATAATTAGTCAACGGTCCCCGATGGGAAGGTGCACAAAAGTAGATTTGCCTCTTGGGATTCCAGAAATTGCTTTCCATAATTTGTTGTAAATATTTATGTGGTGGGGTTAAAAGCGGGGGACTAAATAATTGCAGTAGTTATGATAACATGTTTCAACGGCAAAGAAAAAGGATTTTCGAAAACACATGACTAGAATGACAAGGCATAATTTTTTTTATTTTATTTTTTTGTTGTTTTTTTTTTTGTTTTGTTTTTCTACGAATAACTCATTTACACGAGAGAAAGCTCAAATATACAATGGAAGAGCTAACTAGCTCACAATCATTCAACATACTGAGCACCACAACACCCTATGACCTAGAATAAAATCAAAGTTAGCCAAACTAAAAAACACAAGCCAAGAAGATAAAAGACAAACTAGTATTCACACAAAAATAAACAAAATATTATATATTATTTATATATATTTAATATTAAAATTATAAGTTAGATAATGATATTAAATATTAAATATAGAGTATTATAAATTATATTTACGTATATAATATTAAATTTTTAAATATATTGCAGGACCATTTTGCAGTAGCAATGAAGGGTTTTATTTCATGATATTTGATTTTTGAAAATATTTGATATATCTTTGTAATATCTGAAAAATATTTTTTTATTATTGTATGAATGCAATAGAAAATTGAGATATTTGTAGTCATTCTTAATTAGTTGTGAAATATGTATTTATATAATAACAAAATATATATAGTTTCAAAATAAAAACAAAAATATTTTATATTTTATAACATAAAAAGACGTTACAAAAATGGGCACCATACAAAATGGGAAATGTTAAAATAAAGCGTGTAACTGAAAGTTATATATTTTTATTAAATGTTGACCATATCTTTATTAAATAAACACCTATTTTTATTAAATGAACTACTATTATTATTATTATTAATTGCTGGCTGAATAAAATTTATTGAAGCTTGCCAACAATTATATATATAGATACAACCATTTGACCCCTCTACTGTAACACCCCGCCTACTATAACTTTGGCTTACGAAAAACTGGTAAAATTTTTGCGGTGGTTTTTGAAATATACTTATACCGTTTTTCGAAAAATGTTTAAACTTACTAACTTGTGGGATGCTACCTACTTACTGACTTACTTCTCTTATTCTGTTACTTATGCACATACCCAAATCAACATATAAGTTCCGACTGGGGAAAATACGGATAAGGGAAAATAAAGCATGAATATATACTACTCTGGGTTGGCAGTACGGAAGCGTGAAATAGAGTACGGTACAGTCTGAAATTATTTATACATGCCAACATAACATAAACATAAACAAATGTCCAGCTGACTCGGACACCACCACACCACCAAGCTCGACTCACGCTCCGGGCTGCACTCCATCACCTAAAAAGATAATAGTGGGGGCGTGAGTACTCATCCACTGTACTCCGCAAGAACTAGCACTGAATAAACAACACATATAATCGAATATCATAAACTCAACATATACATAAATAAAACTGTACAGTACTGGTGCAGGCTACCGGTAACTGGCCGATTCTCATGTGATCACGTTCTGGGAGTCGCATCCCCAGAAATCCGGTATGACTCTATTGGGAGTCAATTCCACTGGGCGAGGGACTCTACTGGGAGTCAACATAACATGAGCCATCCGTTCGGGTATAACTGTATATCTACATACATACCTCATTAATAGTACAAGATTATAGGCAATGTAATACCCAGTGCAGGGCCCCCACCCAGTAATACTGAAAAATCTGGCAAGTGCTTGAAAACTGCCGTAGCTGTCGGAGGCTCGACTCTCTTTAAGCTATAAAAACATATAATCAAATAAATGCTAAGTATTATGCTCAATTATATATAAGATGCTCGGTTTTATATGCTCACTTATCCGGATGAAAAGGAACAACTAAAGGTTCGCTTAAAAATATTCTAAGACCGGATTTTAAACTAGAAAACTTAAATTGACTGGTTTTGCTCGGAAAAATACTAAAATTCGGGATAGAGACTCGGACCGAATGTCAAGAATAAAAAAGACTCGAACCGCCGGTCGAACCGACCGGTTCGCTGAATGGCCGGACCGCCGGCTCGGGCTAAACCGGGCGGTCGGGCGCTGGCTCGGGCTGACTGG